CTCTCTCTCTCTCTCTCTCTCTCTCTCTCTCTCTCTCTCTCTCTCTCTCTGTCACACACACGCACATTATTAAATAACAATAATCAATAAATTGCATTAGTTTTCATTAAAAACGTTGAATCGTACAATGTCTTAATCCGGCAACAAGGCGACAATTTCCGCCAGTTCCAGTTCCAGCCGCAACAGTCTCAAGTCTTCTTCTCATCCTTGGCTTCATGCAAATTATACGAAACATGCACCAGGCCAAAGACAGAGAGAGAGAGGAAGAGTGAGGACTGGATGGGGAAATGGCTGAGCTAGAGTCACAGACAGAAGCGTGCAGCGAGGCGAACATTAACTGCGCTTTGCTTAAAATTTATGTTAATCGCTTGTTTTACTTTTAATTTCGCACTTAAAATTGTCGCCATGCTCTGTGCAACAGCACCGACTAAACCATCCACTATCTGAGCGTCTACGCAGACTCCAGGGACTAGAACCAGTTTGTGTGTGTGTGTGTGTTTGCGTTGTCTCTAGGTGACGGGCAGACAGCATCGATAAATTTTATCGATTCCTTGCTGTGGGATTTTAAAACACATCAAAAGACAATAAAATATATCACAAATACGACGAGCGCACACACGAGGCGCAAAATGTTTTTTAGGGAACCTGTTCTCCTCACATACGCAATGCGACAAAAACAAACTTAACTGCACTTGGCTACGGCACAGGTCTCAGGCTCCGTCCCGTGCACCGTCTGTTCCAGTCACTGGGACTGTTCACTGGCCAGATTCTGATTTCCTATAGCCGTAACGCATAACGTCAACTATTCCCGTTGGCTTGTTCTACACAGCGATTCCCTCCCCGCCCCTTCTGCCGGCTGCCACCTCTAATCCGCCATGAAGCGAACTCTTGTATAGTTATTTTAGCATTTTATGTGTCGTCGATTGTTGTGGGGATTTGGCTGGCTAGCTGGCTGGCTAGCTGGCTGGCTATCTGGCTAGCTCTGGCCGTCACTAATTGGATAAGGTAATCCCAACAACAAAATATGAAATCGCTGTTCGATATGGGCGCCTTGCGGTTTAGCTCTGTGCGCAGATTTTATGACGCACTTCACAGAGTCGGAGATCAAAAATTAAGGCACAATGGGGCGAGAGCGACAGACGGTCAGACGGACAGGCATTGCGATCCATTTATAATTAAACGTCAAATGCTGAAAGCCCGGCAAATAAATGTCAAGAGCAAACGAAACCTTACATAAGCCTCACATGACAATTTTTTTTCTAGAGTAGCAAAGCTTAAAAAAAAAGTGTTATATATATATATATTGAATCTATTCACAGTTCAAATGGGCTAAAGAAGTTAAAGCCGAATTGGAATTGTCAGTCATGTTGGGGGCTAAGGCGTTGCCACACTCTGGCGTGGGCGGATTAACATACACACGCACACACTCGCACTCACACACACAGTCGCCGTCGCAGCTCAAGTCATTTTAATTGAAAATTGTCAACAGCTTGTGCCCCGCAACAACCCAAACACTTCTAATCAAGATCAAGTACCGAGTTATTTTTATTTTCTTCTCTATATATTTTTTGTTAGGCTTGATACGCTTTTCTTCTTTTTTTTTTTGGGTGGGCGTCGTTGACCAGAGCTGCGTTTGCAGCTGCGCTCAAAATGCGGAAATGTTGCACGGCGCGAGAGAATTCTGAATTTAGTTCTATTTGGCTGCGGCTTTGGCAGATGGCGGACTCTTGTGGGCAAATGCGCAATGCACACGTAAATTAGCATAAATAGATTTCAATCACTGGGCAATAATTTCATTATGAGAAAGGCACAGGCACACGAAATATACATACATATATGCATATACATATAGCTATCTATATAGAGTGCGGCTCACACGCATGTGCCCCAGCGAGCGATCGTTTTATTGATTTTTCCCAAGTCAAATATGGCTTTGAACTTGGACTTTTGCGCCAATAATACACTCACACAGCAGGCAGGCCAGGCCCGGCCAGGCCAGGCCAGGCTAAGGCCAGTCAGCCAAACAGACTGCCAACAACAACAGCAGCTAGCGATAACAAACAAACGAAATATGCAAAAAGCGCATGCGAGGCGAGATATGCTAACAAGACAAGGCGCACAACTTGCAACTGGCAAAAAAAAAATACCGAAATAAAAATAATAAAAAGCAAGTAACAAAATAAAAATATTAATCAGCCATGGGAGACCGGGGCGGCAAGTGAGCGGCGGCCAGCCCCGGCACTAAAAACGATTAATTCGCAGCGGGGGGCGTGCAGCTACAATGACCTGTGCCTGAGCCAGTGCCAGGGCCTGAGCGAGAGCCGAAGACAAAGTCGGAGCCGAAGCCATTGCTCGTGGAACTCATACGTAACTTCTAGCTTACGTGTTACATATGACGTACATCAAAAGAATGTAACCTAAGCGAGACAGAGAGAGAGAGAGAGAGAGAGAGAGAGAGACGCAGAGAGAGAGAGAAGTTCATGTAATTGCCCATAAGACAGAGTGTAAAAGCATTCTTACTCATATTACGTATTACGTAAAGTACATTACGTAAAGAGCGAGAGCAGGAGAGAAAGAGAGAGAGAGTGCATTATAATGCTTACTAATATTACGTTGAGATGGAGAGAGATGAAGAGAGAAACGTAAGCGTATTTGCCTACAATGACACGGTGTATAAGGACCAGAGATGCTGATTATAGATTCTTACTAACATTACGTATTACGATGATACAGGCTAAAATAAATTCAAGAAATACGAGAACACTACGCTATTACGTGTAATGTATGATGTATAAAACACACAGAGGATAACGTTGACTGGGTTAAAAGGGAGAGATAGAAAATCACTAAGTTTAGTAACCCAACGAGACACTCCGAGAGAAAGAAATTTAGTAGAGAGAAGGAGAGAGAAGAATACAGTAATTACCCAATTGTTTCACAGGAGCACTTTGTTAATACTAACGGCTCTTACGTATTACACAGCATTACGTATACGATGGCATTCTAGTAGACCCAAGCAGAGTGACCACTACGTAAATGATGGCCTGTGTTACGTATTATGTACTACGTGAACCACATTTTAGACAAGGAGAGTCCCATGACTCTTGCTAATGAACTTAAGTTATCTAAAACATAATTTTTAAAAGACATTTATAGCAATGTTTTATGCCAAAACTTTTCTATGCCGGCTATTGCAAAAATATATAAATATTAAAACAATGAAAAAGTAATTTTCCCAAATGAACCTTTCTACATTTTGCATTGTACGAAAAAAACAAGTTCTCTCGAGCTGAAGCTCAAATCAAAACCGTTAGCCGAGCCATTGACAATTTGCTGCAGAAAGTACACACGCACACACACACATGCACGTCTTTGTGTGTATGTATATTCAATATACAATATATTTATATAGTGAGCCTATACAGTTGTTGGATTTGTAGCTGCTTAGCGTTTTGCGGGCAGCTCATCATTTCGACTGCTAAAGTCATTTCTCATGTTGGCAAGATTTATGGCTTCCACCTTCTCGTCGCATGTGGAAGCCAATGCCAGCAGCAGCCGCCTGGCAAACGCCTGATGCGCTGCTGTACAGCAGCAGCAGCGACATCAACTCGTACAACAACAACAACAACTGCAGCAACAGCAACAAACTGCCATTCGCACTAAAATTGAATTCTGCGTTGTGTGTGCGTTGCGTTGTGCGGGCCGCTCGCTGCTCCCGCTATGATTGATCACTAAATTGCACAAGCTTAAGCGGCGCAAGCCCACGACGCGCCCGAAGATGAGGATGAGCACAGGAATCTGGGCACCGAGCAAACTGAACTGAGGGAAGAGCCAAGAGGCGGTAACTGCGGTGCCTGGGCACGGCCTTTGATGGGGCGCATGGGTTTGGGGTATGGCTACCTCTGCTGCTGCCGCTGCCGCTGCTGCTGCTGCTGTTGCTGTTGTTGTTGCACATTTTTGTTGCATGCTTACAATCAGATCTGTCAGATCAGTTTCCTCTTTGGCATCGGTTGTTGTTGCTGCTGTTGTTGTTTTTGCTTGTCTTTTTGGCAGTTTTGTTTTGTTTTGCTCATTCGCGGCTGCTTTGGCTGCATTGGCTGTGGCATTCATTTAATCCGGCCTGGCTACCAAAACGTTGCATCTACAGCAGCCCCAAAACATTCAGGGCGTTGCATGGGGCGTTTTATTGTTATATCGACACCAGCAGTTTGTGCGCAGTTTGCGTCATTTGCATTAGCCATACAGACATATACATATACATATATGTATGTATATATAGACTCAGCTGAAGACCACCAAAAAAGGTTCGACTGGAGCAGCCATTAAAATCGCTCATTGAAAATATTTTAAGTGTTTTTTTTTTTTTATATGTATGTCACTTTATGGGGCTGGGATATGCCCAGCTTATATTCGCTGTCTGCTCTGTCTGGGCTGCTTGATCAGCTCGTCGTAGAATTTGTTTATCGTTAATGGCTGCATTTACGATGTGATTCCTGATGGAATATATACATATATAAATGTATGTAGATGTATAATAATATGTATATGTGTCTGTGTGTGTGTGTGCGTGTGGCCGCTTCCTGTGGCACTTTGGTCGCTGCTCGCTTATCCGCGCAGCTTCCGTTGCTCATGGATTGACATTTTGGGCTTCGATGTTTTAATGTCACTCGATGGGCTCATAAAAATGCAAATGCTACATATAATAATAATAATAATAGTAATAATAATAATAATAACATTGAATGTGTTAACGTGTGCCCTAATATGGTCAAACATTTTCACACCTCGACAGCGATAGTGCGTTGCCTGCTTATGGACTCGCATTTCATTTATGGCAACACACAGAGAAAGAGAGAGGTGGGAAGGGGGAGGGGAGTGGGGCCATAAAACTGTTTGGCCTTAGAAAGCCGCTGTTCAAGTTGCAGTTGCTAGTAGAGAGTTGTTGTTGTTGCTGTTGCTGTTGGTGCTGTGAAATTAACTTATTGCCTTTTATTGGCAGCAAACAGCAGCAGCAGCAACAGCAACAACAGCAGCAGCAGCATTTACCAACTTCTCAACTTGGCCAAGTCGCTTGAATGCATTTATTATGGTGCTACTTGTCGAACCGGAAATGCAATGCACTATTCAAACATATTGGCGCCCTTGGCAGCAACAGCAGCAATAACAACAGCATCAGCAGCAGCAGCACCCAAAATAAAACCAATACACATGCAGCGCAGACTGAGGCATGCAGCATCAACATTTGCATGCGCACAAACTGCATTTGTTGCTGCCTTGGCATAGAGTTGCTCATGTTGCCTGACCTAACAACATGTTGCTGATGTTGCTGCTGCGGTTGCTGTTGCTGTTGCTGTGAAAGAGGCGGCCACAGTATGTTGCGATGATATCTTTCTTAGACTATATTGCAGTTGTTGTTGCTGGCACTTGTGGGTCAGCAAGAAGTTGCTGCTGCTGTTGCTGATGCTGCTTCTGCTGCTGTTGCGCGCATTTTAATTGAATTAACATTTTTACTAGTGTAATGATTTCAATTAGTTTGCACCTCGCACATGTATTGTCAGGCCTGAAGTTGCTGCTGCTGCTGCTGTTGCTGTTGCTGTTGCAGACAATGTTGCAGCAGGCTGCAACTGGCTGGCAGAGCAACATTAGCAGACGCTTGAACTGCCTGGCATTGCAATGTCTTCGTCTGTCTGGCCGCAATCTGCGATGTGGTATGGCTTGGCTTGGCTTCTGCCCTGCCTCTTTGCCTCCATTTGGCTGCCGGCTGCACATTTGCATTAATTGCTTGTTGCTGTTGTAGCTGCTTGGCTGGGCCGTAGCTGTTGCTGCCAGCACTGCACGTGTTTGTTTTTTTTCCGCTCTTTTTTTTAACTTTTGGCATTGTACTCGTGTTTGGCTTACTAATGGCTTAATAGTTTTATTGCCCCATCGATTTGCATTCAAGTTTGGAGCAACTCCTCATGAGGCTGGAATGTTTGCGATCTGCTGTTGCTGCCGATGCTGTCGCTGACCCGAGCAATGCTCGTTGATGCTACACTTTTAACTAGCACGTTTGATAACAACCATAGGTTGGTATGAAAAAATTATTATCGTTCACTAAGTTTGGAAACATAGAACTTTCAGTTCAGTGAACGGAAGTAAATTTTATAGGGGAATATCTCTTGCTTAGAAATCACTAAACTTTTCCCGAATTTGCTTAATATTTAAGATAGAGATAAAAAAATTTATAAAACAAATTTATTGCTCTGATCAATCTCCAAATGCTAACCTTATTTTTCTTGTCGTCAAGATTTATATATTAAAGAGAAATTTTGCAAGAATTTCTAAATCAAGCTTGCCAACAAATCTTGTTTGAATGGGACTTTATCACTGAATATCGATTGAGTGTTGTCATGGCTAATCTGATTTTTATTGAAGACGGATATAAATTTAGAGCATTAATATTAATTCATTTAATATTTTATTCATTTAATATAAATTACTTCATCTAGTTCCTTAACTTATGTCATATATTCGATTGAGATTGGGCATATATCAAACTGTTCTTTTAAATATGTGAATGAATCAATATCACTATCTCTTTTCCTCTCAATCTTTCATAGCGTTTTCTCTCTTTTCCCTTTATCGTTACCTCACTCTTACCCTGTCTCCCCATCGCTTTCTTTCACTCTTATGCTGTCACTCTCTCCATCTTTCAGGGTTTCTCGCTCTGTGCTGACTTTCTCTCTTATTCTATAAATGTTTCTTTTCTTTTCCTCTCATTCTGTCACTTATTCTCTGCTACTCTCTCTCTCTCTCTCTCTCTTTCTATCCCTTTCTCTCGCTCTCTGTCTCTCTCTCTCTTTCCTCCTTCTCTTACTTTCTTTGTATAACTTCCTCACCCTATCTCTCTTCCTTTCACACTCCTCATTTCTTTATCTTCCCCTTTCCCTTCTCTCATTCTCCTGTTTCTCTCTCTCTTTCTTGCTCTGTCTCCCTCCCTCCACGTTTGTCAACCATCCGTGTGTCATTTCAAAATGCGTTCGCTGCTTATCTGCAGTCGCATTCATTTTCGATTTTATTTCGCCTGCCTTTTGACGGCAAAAGACCTGAAGACGCGGCAGCTCTCTGTTGTTGTTGTTGCTGCTGCTGCTGCGGCTGCTGCGTCGGCGTTGCTAAAAGGCCTCAGCCGCATTGATAACAACAACAACAACAGCAGCAAGAGGAGCCCGCACGTCCAAGACGATCGCCTGGCTGCGCCTGCGCAACTCTTGGTTGGTCCTGCCGGGCATGCATTAACTTTAAGTGTAGGTTACTGATAAGCGTGCCTGCCTGCCTTGGCGCTGGGTGATGCATCGCCAGCGTTGCCTTGGCCTCTCTCTCTCTCTCTCTATCTGTTTCTCTCTCTCTGTGTGTGTGTGTGTTTTGCATTTTGCGTGTGCTACTTTTGCGAGCAAGCCGACTGCACCCATGCCCTACACACACACACACACAGACACGCAGAGACATGCTGGGCAAACAAGTTCGTGTCCGAAGTCTTTTGTTTTATGCATCTGCATCTTGGCTTTTTTCGGCGCACAGATTTTATTTTATTACATTTAAGATTTTTCTTATTTTATTTTTTGTTTTTGGCCATGTGTGAAGCAAAGTCGCCTGCATATGCATAAATAAGTACGATAAGGCTGCACTTGGCACTCCAGCTTCAGCTTCAACTTCAGCTTTGGCTTCACTCTGCAGCACCGAAAAAATGCAAAATGTAAAATGTAGAATGCTCTTTGCATATTTGCCTCTTCTTCTGCTTCTTGCTCGTCGTCTCCTCTCTTCTCGTTTGACTCTCATTGAGAAACTGGACGCGCTGCTAAATGACATACGACGTGTTGGCGCTGCAATACCAT